CTCAAGGTCCTAAACGATATTATAACCGCGATCGATAATAGACAGTACTGCGCAGCCGTTTTCATTGACCTGGCCAAGGCTTTCGACTCTGTCAACCACCGCATTCTTATTGGCAGACTAAATAGCCTTGGTTTCTCAAATGACTGCCTCGCCTGGTTCACCAACTACTTCTCAGATAGAGTTCAATGTGTCAAATCGGAGGGCCTGTTGTCTGGACCTATGGCAGTCTCTATGGGGGTGCCACAGGGTTCAATTCTTGGGCCGACTCTTTTCTCTGTGTATATCAATGACGTCGCTCTTGCTGCTGGTGACTCTCAGATCCACCTCTACGCAGACGACACCATTTTGTATACATCTGGCCCTTCATTGGACACTGTGTTAACAAACCTCCAAACGAGCTTCAATGCCATACAACACTCCTTCAGTAGCCTCCAACTGCTCTTAAACACTAGTAAAACTAAATGCATGCTCTTCAACCGAACGCTGCTTGCACCCGCCCACCCGACTAGAATCACTACTCTCGACGGGTCTGACCTAGAATATGTGGACAACTACAAATATCTAGGTGTCTGGTTAGACTGTAAACTCTCCTTCCAGACTCACATTAAGAATCTCCAATCCAAAGTTAAATCTAGAATCGGTTTCCTATTTCGCAACAAAGCCTCCTTCACTCATGCTGCCAAACATGCCCTCGTAAAACTGACTATCCTACCGATCCTTGACTTCGGCGATGTCATTTACAAAATAGCCTCCAACACTCTACTCAGCAAATTGGATGTAGTCTATCACAGTGCCATCCGTTTTGTCTCCAAAGCCCCATATACTACCCACCACTGTGACCTGTACGCTCTTGTTGGCTGGTCCTCACTACATATTCGTCGCCAAACCCACTGGCTCCAGGCCATCTATAAATCACTGCTAGACAAATCCCCGCCTTATCTTAGCTCATTGGTCACCATAGCAACACCCACCCGTAGTCTGCGCTCCAGCAGGTATATCTCACTGGTCATCCCCAAAGCCAACACCTCCTTTGGCCGCAATTCCTTTCAGTTCTCTGCTGCCAATGACTGGAACAAATTGCAAAAATCTCTGAAGCTGGAGACACTTATCTCCCTCACTAACTTTAAGCATCAGTTGTCAGAGCACCTTACCGATCACTGCACCTGTACACAGCCCATCTGAAATTAGCCCGCCCAACTACCTCATCCCTATATTGTTATTTATTTTGCTCATTTGTACCCCTAGTATCTCTATTTGCACATCTTCTCTTGCACATCTATCATTCCAGTGTTAATACTAATTGTAATTATTTTGCACTATAGCCTATTTATTGCCTTACCTCCATAACTTGCTACATTTGCACACACTGTATATATATGTATTTCTGTTGTATTTTTGACTTTTTTTTGTTTTACCCCATATGTAACTCTGTGTTGTTGTTTTTATCGCACTGCTTTGCTTTATCTTGGCCAGGTCGCAGTTGTAAATGAGAACTTGTTCTCAACTGGTTTACCTGGTTAAATAAAGGTGAAAAAAAAATAATAATAATTGTGTCACTGGCTGGTGGTAAGCTTTCTTGACTTGGACATACATTTTTGCCAACGCATGGCTAACCTTTGTTTAAGCAGCTAAACAGCTGCTTTTAGCGAAAATGTGTTTGGAGTTACCTTTTTTTTCTTGCTAATAGGCTATGTTAGAGCTTATACTGTACGTTCTCTTCCAATTACAATGTGGGGAGGTCAAAATAATGAAAAACTATCGACCAAATTTATTAATTTTAAAATCTTAATTACTTCTCCCTGCCATTATCATTCACGTGATGATAAGACAAGACATGTGAAAAAAACAACGTTGTTAACATATGGGCAAGAAAAGGTTGAAGACCCCTGATCTAGGGTGATTAACACAGTGAGGTCGTCAATCGCATTGAACAGTACCAGCCACACGGTGGCGACAGAGAAGCGCTGTTCCCCCTTGGCGATGTGCAGGACTGCAATTGTTGATATTAAAAGTGGTATGGGATGGACGGTATGGATGAGACCTCTGTTTAATGGGATACAATAAATGTTTTATCATGCCCAGGCTATTTCACAACCGTTTAAAATCCATGCAGATAATCAAGGCTTTCAATGGACATCACATAAAAAATGTGATATGGAAACTTATAGCTTGATGAGACCTGCATTGTTTGGCCGACTGACATGATACATCGATAAATGAGTATGACAGTATAGGATAGGAAAGTGTTTCTCTCTCCTCTCTCTCTCTCACACACGTGCACGCGCGCACACCCGCACGCTCTGTTATTTTGTACGACTCAATTGTATGTAGGCTAATGGCGGTATACTGAATACCTTTCTGTAAATAAACACACACCTGAATAATCTATAATAACAAGAAGACAAAGGGCTCTCCTCCCATCTATGTACCTCTCAAGTTGTGAAGAAATCACAACATACCCTTCTGAGGCTCTTACATAACACCCCATCATCCCCAGTAGTCATCTGACATTGTTAGCACAGGTACTGGGACTTGGGTCGATGGGTGGTGTCATTATAGAGTATATAATAAACATCAGAGAAACCTATAAAGTATTTCCTGTTACAATGTCTTCTCCAGAGGAAATGTATTTTCTCATCAAATAATTTTGTATAACACTGAAATGATCAAAATGAATGAAATTGGATTATAGGCCAGTTGAAATGGCTAGTAACGATGATTAAGTATTGATTGAAACAGGGCTACACATTAACTAGATTTCTTATAGTGATGCAGATAAAAGGAAAAATATGAAAATGATGGATTTCATGATGTTGTAACTTTGCCTAGTAGCTAAAGATCAGTATCCTACTTTCTGGCAGACAATGGACCAACAGAAGTAAATATGTTCAGAAGTAAAAACTTTTATTTTGTCCAATTTTTTTCCTATAAAAAAGCCCTTTTTCAAAAGTTAGTACTTAATACATGGCAGGAATTACAATAATAATAAAATGGTTAATTGCAAAATGACATTTATATGTTTAATATCCAAAATACATTGCATATACGAAGTAGCACAGTTCCCCTTTCATTGAACATTACTGTTAATGAGAGGTGGATGTAAAGGGTACATTTTAGATTATTACCTTCATGCTACATTTAACAAATTCCCTTTAGTTCACACCTCTAAAGCAATGGAGCTTCAAGAGATGCTTGCTGTGAATATTAGGGGTGTCTGTGCTCATTTGCATAATATACCTGGCCAATTTAAAGGCACAGACAAAAGCTGGCAATTTCTGGGCGGTTGGCTTAATGATATGAGACATTGCAAGTATTGTTGGCCTATTTTAGAATTGAAAGCAACCATAATCATGGTATATACAGAATAACAGATTTACTATAAGTATAGGATTATGATTCAAGCAGGCATTTGTGGTTTTTGGTAATAACTAGCTAGAACAAATATTGTGTTCACTGCAAGGCACTGAGGTCATTACAAATTGAATTTCAGAAAACTAAAAAAAAAAAACTGCCCAAATGTACAGATATAAAACGTAAAAAAATGTTGAACATACTACATATCAGTAACGGACTTAACAATGTTTGCATTTTTGACCGAGGTCAACTCGTATTAATTCTCTTGACTTTTTAAAACTGTGTCACATATGAAAATAACTCCGCATAATTTATACAGTAAGTTGCTTTAATGCCTAGTTGACCAATGTTTACAAAATAATAGAAAATAGGTCTGACGAACGCACAGCATTCGCGAATCTGAGGATTTCTCTGTTTTCATCCTTTCTTACTCTACTGGTTTTGTTCTTTATTTAGTAAACCATTTATTTTCATGAAGTACTGAGACAAGTCCAGATTCAGCTGTTTAAATACACTTGTTTCTTTCATACAATACATTTTAAACATCTGAAAATGCACGTTTTGAAATGGCAGTGCTGTATGAATGCACAGAGACAGTTAGATGAGGGTTGACATGACATGACATAGTGCTATGGTAAGTCACTCTGTGTCTACACTTGCCAAGGCCTGGACAGAAGAGGAAGAGACCACCATAAGACACGCAGCTCTTCTAGAAACATCTGTGATTGTCAAATTGAGAATGTGTTCCATGGACCAGAGGGCATTCACATTAATAATGACTTGGTCCAACAAAACATCTGGGAATGGAACGAACCAACGGCTGAAGAGGACAAACAGCATAGTTCCTATAACAACAGCCAACCGGTGTGTGGCACCCTGAAAACATAGCTACAGCGCTTCACTTCCAATTCTGGTCTCCAACTCACCTACTTCCAGTTTGGAGGATAAATTAAGTGTGAATCAATGGCGTATTCCAGTTGCCAACATTTCATTTTCATTCAGTGCTGAGAAGTCCTTTTATTTGGAGCCCTACCTCCACAGTTCCAGATGACTCTCCACACACTGTTAACAGAACATGAGACAGATGGACATGATGTTGATCTGAGACCCTCATACAGGACTGGAACGAGGAACAAGGCAGGAGCTTACCATATAAGGGAAATGTAGATTGAGACCCATAGAGAATGGGTCCATGTCTGTGATCAGGAACAAATTAGGTATGAGAGCCTCTATGGTCACTCAATAAGGCTGCATCTGTGTGGGTAACCGTGTCCAGATTTTGGGGGGCTCTGAACTGGCCCATGGGTGCTGCTTACAGGGGACAGAAAGGCAGAAAAAACACAGACGCACTGTTACGCACATCAAAAACACTAAACAAAACAAACATGGAAACACTCTTGTCTTGTAAATAAGTAGTACTCCATTTGGATCACAGCATCCAGTTTTTTTTTTTATCCTTCAAAGATTCCTTCAGTTAGCTTCCTTCATTTTGCCAGTTAAGAGCAGACTTTGGGTTGAGGCGGAGAATCCCCCTTTCTCTCGGTCTTAGTTGGTTTGGTTTCATTGTGGTTTCAGGTCAGCGCTGGTGGGTTTGGTTGGAGGAAGAGGAGGGAAGGTTGGGGGAAGACGTCACGGTGCAGTGGGGTTTAGTAGTAACTGCCCAGGTGGGAGGGCACGTGGGAGTTGGGGTGGCGGGGGACGCTGTGGTTGGGGTAGATGCCCCCTGTAGGGGAGCTCCAGTACGGAGCGGTGGGTCCAAAGAAGTTAGAAGAGGTGACGGGCATGGAGGGAGGGTGTGGGGACACGAAGTTGACCTTCTGCTGGTGGGCATGGTAGGAGGGCACGTATGCCAGGTCCGAGGGGTACTTGTACATGGAGGACTCGGTGGGGTGGGGCTGCAGGGCCTGGGCGATACCGTGGAAGTCAAACTTGTAGGCGTAGCGCTTGCCGTGCACCTTGGTCATGATGTTCTTGTCATAGTAGTAGCGCAGGGCGCGGCTCAGCTTGTCGTAGTTCATGTTGGGCTTGCTCTTCCTCTCGCCCCAGCGACGCGCCACCTCGTCCGGGTCCGTCATCTTGAACTCTCCGTTGGTGCCCTCCCAAGTGATGCAGCCGGCATTGGCGCTGTCTGACAGGAGCTCCAGCAGGAACTGCCACAGCTGGATCTGTCCTGAACCTGACCAGGAAACACACACACACACACACACACACACACACACACACACACACACACACACACACACACACACACACACAGACACACACACACACACACACACACACACACAGACACAAACACACACACACACACAGACACACACACACAGGTCAAATCAACAGCTGTTCTATCCCTGAACAACTAACAGTCCATTGATCAAAGACCCATAACTCATTATGTACTTACTGAATACTGCAGTAAAGTAGAATGCCAATGTGCACAATTCTCAGCAGATAAAAAAAATTCTGTGACTATTTTACAGAGAAATCTACCAGGGCCATAATGAAGCAATGTAGGTTGAGAATGTAGTTTACATCTGATATATGATTGGTCTCATACATCCTCCTGAACCTACCTGGGTTGGCCAGTCGACTGCTGGTGGGCCCCAGGATCTGGTAAGGATCTGTGGAGAGAGAGAGAGAGGGGTCTGTTAGTCTGTAACTATCACTATACATTAGGCTGATACTCATCCAGATGGGTGTAACCCACCGTGGCTGTCTTAGGTGGAATGCACACACATGATGGAAGGAATGAGCAGGGTGAAATACATTACCTGGCTGAGGTCTGGGCTGTTCAGTGGATTTGGACACGTTCTGTGTGACCACAGGTGAGCCTGAAGAGGGAGAAGTTAGGAAGGGAAAGAAGGAAAGAAACAGGAGGGAGGAAAGCCAGTTGGGCGGTCATGGATAAATCACGGTACACATCTTAATGGCACTTCAGCCCCATTCCAAAGAAAACAGCCCAATAACTGGTGGCTAGGGTAAGTGCTTAAAGTTCACAGATTTCAGGGTTGACGACTGAGGATTTAATCATTGGTGGTCTGCCTTGCGTGCTTAGGTTGAGTGTGGGCTCTCACACGTATCACTATGAGCTAGGGAAGAATGTATGTGATGATGCGTGATGGGTAGGACCATATCCTAATTCCTTGTGTGGTTTGGCTACAAGTCTTTCTCCGACTCAGTAAAGCAAAAAGCATGCTTACCTTTCCCACTGTGCATGTTGTTCGACCATCCAGTCCGTCGTACAGCATCATATGAGGGGTCTGAGAAGTAGAGAGAGAGAGAGAAAGAGAGATTTGTCAACATTAAACACTCTACTGCACTTCCTAACATTTAATATTGGAGTATTGCATTTATTTTTCCTATAGACGGTTGACTGACATCGTCACGAAATTGATGCACACACGCATCGATGAGGCAGAAGGCCGTGTGGTGTTAAGACTCTGAATGGTCAGATAGCTAGCAACAATTACATGAAGGTGCTGTGTGGGGTATCGTAGGTGGCTCGTTTTAACTTGATGTATCTTGTTTAAAAAAAAATATATATATATATATATATTAAAACATACAATCTACCTGCAGTGAAGCCACTCAACATTTACATTACATTCAGTCATCTAACAGACTCCCATCCAGAGCGACCCACAGCAGCAAGGCCATCTGTATGCGTTTGAGTGCATGTGTGGCACTATTTACATGTGTGTATATGTGTGTCCGTGCGTGTGCACGTGTGCGTTTGAATGCGAGTGTGTGTATATGCATGTGTACACTCATACAAGCACATGTACGGCATCAGCCTCAGGAAAACAGGCATTGGATGTAACAGTGTTCCCCCTAAGTTTCATTCAAACATACTTTATTTTTGGTTTATTTTGACTTTATTTTTGACCGTCATTCTATCCCCCGTCCAGCAACTCCACTCCCACTTGTCTCCAGTTCCACATCCCAACCCTCAGTTTCCCTCAGCCCATCCCACCTATCTCTGCTGGCCACCCTCTTCGGATTTCTACGCGCCATATATCTTTCAACTATGCTGTGATGTTTAACATACAATTTGAATCTATCTAATCAAATAGAATCCACAGATTGCGAGTTGAAGATAAATAATTTTACTAAGAGTATTAGTATATTAGTAATTGACTGACCAGGTCTCTCCAGATCTCCCAACAATGCTATTTTAGATTAAAGTTATGCTTTTTCAGCCATTCCTGAACCTGAGACCAGAAACAGGCTACCTGTGGGCAATACCAGAACAAATGTTGTATCTTGTAATTGATACCATGTCTTGCTTTGAGGTGTTTTGACATGTCATGTCTATGCTAATATGGCTAAAACTAACTGTAACAATGTTTTTTGAGAGACAACGAGTGCTCATTGTACAAATGTATTTATGTTTTCAATAAACTTTGGAGACTAAATATAGTTGACATGTTGTCAACAATCTAGGCTAACCCAATCTATTTTGCCCCATGGTTGCGCACACATTGGTTTTGTTGCTAAACAACCAAGCAGCCTATACACGAGTGGGAAATAAACTGATTCTAGCTTGAGAACATGAACCCTCTACTTCATCTCATAATATACACTAGTCCTGAATTAAAAAGGGGTAGTGGCTCTTTTCGATATGTGGCTGTGTATGTTCTTGGCTGTACTCTCTACTTCCCCACCTGCAAGTGAACCCATCTCAGGAACACAACTTGGCTTTATACAAGCAACAAGATTGTCAAGGAAATAAGGCAGAGGAGTGATGCCAAGAGCCGGCTATAAAAAGGTTTGCCTGCCTATCCAAGCCCTGTCCAAGAAACCCTGTGCAGCAGGATATCTGGCCCAGGTGATGTGGGTTTATCTGGCATACAACTATGTCTCAAAACTAGAGGAACCAACAAGATGTCTTCGATAAAATGACAGTTTCACGTTTGCGAGGTTCCCAACTGATTGAATGCGGTCTGGGCACCTGGATTGCTACCAGTTGTAATCAATCTCCTTGAAGTGCAGATAAAACAGGATGTATATTTTCGCCATCAAGGCATCAAAAGCAGTACTGCACATTCCCATCTAAATTGAAAGTACATGCAATTTCACCTTCATTTGGCTGGCAACGACTATAGCACCCCTGACAGTTAGCTTTGTTACCAGCTAAGACTGTACCACATGCAGAGAGTCACCAGACAGGAGGAGATATAACAGCCAGTGAAGGAAGACACATATCTAACAGATATAATATCCCACTAGTCTTACATATAGCCGATGTAATGTCCTACTAATATAACATATAGCCGATGTAATGTCCTACTAATATAACATCTCACCGATATAATGTCCTACTAGTTTTACATCTAACCAATATAATGTCCCACTAGTTTTACATCTAACCGATATAATGTCCTGCTAATATAACATCTAACCGATATAATATCCCACTAGTCTTACATATAGCTGATGTAATGTCCTACTAATATTACATATAGCTGATGTAATGTCCTACTAATATTACATATAGCTGATGTAATGTCCTACTAATATTACATATAGCTGATGTAATGTCCTACTAATATTACATATAGCTGATGTAATGTCCTACTAATATTACATATAGCTGATGTAATGTCCTACTAATATTACATATAGCTGATGTAATGTCCTACTAATATTACATATAGCTGATGTAATGTCGTACTAGTCTTCCATCATGTTATAATGACTATATTAATCCTTTTAATGTGTCAATTCTCATGATGTCACCACTGTTTTTATGTTTGGTCACATAAGTGGTGCTCATATAAGCCCCTGCTGAGCTCAACATGCAATTAAGAGACACAGCAGGTGTCTAACGTGAAGACGTAAGGCTCTAAATCGTAGTGTGTGTGTGTGTGTCTGTGTGTCACGCTACATATACAGCCAATGGGACAGCTAGAACTTAACATGCTTCACTGTGGTGATACAGACACCCTTCTATTACAGGAGGTCTTGACACAACTAACCTTCCAACACCACATAATGTGGCTCCTTCTGACTCATCAGTAACCTCAGCATCTACAACTGGTTGAGATCCAGGTCATGGCTTCTCTAAACATTATCCAACACTGCCCTCTTGTGGTCAGAAACATGCCATTTCTTATAAAACAAACATTTGGAAATGCAGACCTTCCACTGGTTTACTTCAACCAACATTGAATAAATCAAAACGCATGTCCACTTTAGTGTTGAGTACTTCTCAAACCACAAACATGACTCAAAGCTGTAACAGAAAAAAACACCCTGGCTTTGTAGGAAGCAATGTCACTAGAAAGTGTTTTATTGTCTAACATTAATTATACATCTACAATTACAATTGTAACTTATTTCCTTTTGCTCATGTGTGTTTGTGCTTTATAAAACCGTCCTTCAGCAGAAACTTGCATTTTAAACTATGAACCCCAGAGTTGGCTCAATGGGCCCGAACCTGGAAGAACTAAACAAAGAGTGGGCCTCTCTTTTCTCTCTCTGTCGGATGGACCTGGGGTGGGTAGGATGAAGGGAGCTGGGTGGAGTGGTAGAGAGAGAGGGGGAGGGGGGGAAAAGACAAAAGGGAGAGAGGGGAAAAGAAGGGGAGAAAGGGGGGAGAGAAAAGAGGGGAAGGAGAAAGGGAAAAGGACAAAGGGGCCCCCCCCGGGAGCGGGAGGAAAAAGGAATTGAATTAAATTTGGTAAAAGAGAGTGAGAAAGAGCCCGGGGCCCGGGGCGAGGGGAGAAGACAGAGAGCGAGCGGCTGGGAATAACATTTTGGGGGGCCCGGGTTTTCAGTAGGGGCGTCGGGTCCAATCTGCAGGGGGCCGGGGGGGTAGCCCGGGAGAAAACGACGGGGGGAGAGTCCGGGGGAGAGTTTTTTTTCCCTGCCTGCCTCCTCCCAAAAAACCTTCTTTTTTTTGAAATTTTTGGGCCTTTTTTTTCCCCCCTCCCCCCCCGGTCCCCCCCCCTGCGAAAAAAACCACAGGGGCTACCGCCTTTCCAAGAAAAGGGGGTCCCAAACCCAAAAGGGGGAGAAGAAGAAAAGGAAGAGAGAAAGAGGAGAAAGAGAGAAAGGAAGGGGGGAAAGGGAAAGGAGAAGAGAGAAGAGGGGGGGGGGGGGAAAAAAAAAAAAAAGGGGGGGGGGCCCCCCCTTTTTTTTGGAAAACCCCAAGATCCCCCAGGCGGGACGAAACCCCAACTTTGGAATTTGAAAAAAAACAATAGCGTTTTTTCCCCGCTACTGTCTGTTTTGGGCAAGGACTTTGGTTGGATAGACTCCCCGCCTTAAGCCCCAAACTTTTGTAGCCCCTTTTGACATTAAAAAAAAGGAAAGAGGGGGTCCACCCCTTGCAATTCCCATATTAAGGGTTCCCCCCCCTATAGAAAAGGGGGTTTTCCTTTCCTGTTTTCGTTTGGGGTTTCCGAGTCGCCCAGGGGGCAGGGTGGACATGAACGAAGTGAGGAAACCATTCAGCAGGGGGACGGAGAGGAGGGGTTTAGGAAAAGTGGGGAAAGGGGGAAAGGTGAGGGGTTTTTTTGGGGGGAGGAGGGAGGGGGAAGGAGGGGGGAAGAGGGGGAAGGGGTGAGAAGAGGAGGGGGGGAAGGGAAAGGAACCCCGGGAAGAAGGGTAGGGGGGGTTAACGTTGCACAACTGAATGCATTCACTAAAAATTGTTTTCCCCAACATTTAACCCAAAACCCCCTCTGAATCGGGGGAGTTGCGGGGGGCGGGCCTTAAATTCGACACCACGTCTTTGGGCCCCGGGGAGCGGTTGCTGGGGGGGAAAACCCTTGCCAAGGGAAAAAGGGGGAACGGAGGGGGAAAAAGGGGGTCCAAAAGGGAAGAAAGCCCCCCGGGGGGGGAGGGTGGATAGGAAAGGGGGGGGGGGGGGAAATAAGGGCCCCCCCCCAAGTCAGGGGGGGACCCGGGTTGGGAAAGCGGGCCTTTGGCAAACCAACTAAAAACCCCAAAAAAATTTTTGGCACTCGGGACCCCCCTCTCCCTTTTTTTTTTCCAGGCCCTCTCTGAGTGGACCATTTTCCCAACTCTAGGCGGGGGTTGTGGTGAAAATGCCCGGGGGCCTTCCCGGGGGAAAAAGCCCTTGATGAAAGGAACCCAAGGCCTATTCCAAACAAGGGCGGGGGGGGCCAAAAAGGGGGAGAGAAAAAGTTAGTCAGGGGACTGTTTTTAAAACCCAAAAGGGCTCAGCCAAAGACACAACTCAACAGAGCATGGCTTTTTTACTGTATGAAGGTGTTGTTTCCCCGCCATCGGGTGAGAAAAGGGAAAAAAAAAGGGTTTGACAAATGGGGAAGAGGAGCGGGCCAAGTTTTAAAAAGCGGACCCCAAGGGGGGCCCAATTAAAAAAGGGAAGAGTACTTTTACGTTCCCCTGGCTATACAACCCAATGAAAATCGAAAGGCCCCCCCCCCACTTGGGGGGGGGCCTTTAGAAAAAGTAAAAGGGAAAAAAAAAAATAAAGGGCCCAAAACCCAAATCTCTTAAAAACCCCCCTTCCCCTCTGGGGGGACCCCGGGTCGCCTTTTTTTGGAAATTCACTGAATCCCAAAAACTTATCTCCCGGGGGGTTACCATTTGGGGGGCTCCAACCACCAACTTTTGCCAAGGAAAGGGGAAAACCAGAAACACACACACAAAAAAAGGGGGGGGGGGGCATCCCCAAACCCAACCCAACAACTTTTAAAGGTGGCAAAAAAATTTCCCAGGATAGACACATCCAAAAGGGGGGGGGGCTTTTAACAAAGAACGGGTCGGGGAAAAGATTTTTGGGGGGTCTTCCGGGTAAGGGGGGTTTGGCCCCAACCCAAGAGGAGTGAGGGGGGGGGCCCCATTTCACGGGCAAATGCCCTGGGAACATCGGGTGAAAAAATTTTGATGGGAATCCAAGCTGGATTCTTAAGCAAAAGGCGGTTTTTGGAAAAGGGGGGGCCTGTAAACGGAGTTTGATAGGAGAAAAAGGAGCACTGGTTTTTTGGGTTCCTATAATAAAATCACTTTTCTGTGTTGGGGGGGTGGGGGTTGAGGGGAGTTGACCTGCTGGATTTTGCCCCGTCTAAATACCCTTCCAATGAAACCAGGAAGAAGGGGTCAGAATTAAAAAAAGCAGGGAAACTTATTTATCGTGTCTTTGCTTTTGTCAAGTCTATTGTTAAAAAAAAAAAAACTAAATTTAAAAGGAAAAAAAAAAAAATGAATGTTACGAGCTGCCCATTGGCCCGATATTGAACCAGGGTGGGGAAAAAGTGTAACTCATCGGTGGGAAAAAGGGCAAAGTTTAACATTTTTTCAGCTAAGGGTTTTCCCCTTTTCCCCCCCCCAAACTTTGATACGCCCTTTTCCTGTGAGCCAGGGGGCTAATTTAGTGTTATTTCAAAACCTTGGTTTTTTCAGGTTTTGGATGTGGGGGGTTGACTTCACAGTCCACAGGGAAAGGGTATGTACCTCATTCACCGGGGACTTAAGGCTTAGGCGGGTCCCGACGAAACCCAAATCTGGAAAACCCAAAAGGACCTGAACAGCTTCCCCCAAACCCCCCATTTTAAACCCGATTTTTAAATGGTTGTTAAATAGTTTAAACCAAACAGCTATCCGGACTAAAAACCCTTGACCTTTTTTTTTTGGGGACTTTTTTTGTTTAACCCCATAAAATTTCGCCCAGTTTCTAAATGTTTTTCTATCTGTCACTTTATTCCCAGACAGTTTCAATCGGAAAGTTATTTAGACCCCCCCTTTTGACCCTTTTTCCCCCATTTTGTACGTTTAAAAAAAAAGCCTTATTCCCAAAATTGATTAAAACGTTTTTTTTTTTTTCATTAATCTAAAAAAACACAATACCCTAATGACAAAGCAAAAAAAAAGGTTTTTAAAAACATTTTTAAACACATTTTTAAAAAAAAAAAACTGAAATATCACATTTACATTAGCCTTCAGCCCCCCTTTTCTCAGTACCCTTTTTTGAAGGAACCCTTTTGGGACGATTTTTCCCGCCTTTTTATCTTCTTGGAAATTTACTCTCAAGCTTGGCACCCTCGGGATTTGGGGAGCCCTTTTTCCCCCTTTTTTACTCTGCGACCCCCCCTCAAGCTTTGTCCCGGTTGGATGGGAGCGCCTCTCACAGCTATTTTCCCGGTCTCTCCCCGAGATGTTCCCATCGGGGTTCAAGTCTTTTTGCTTCCCCCGGCCGGGGAAATCAAGGAGCAATTCAAAAAGCCCTTTCCTGGGCCCCTTCCCCGCATTGTCATGGGTTTTTTCTTTGGGGCGTTGTCCCATTGGGGGGGTTTAACCTTCGCCCCATTTTTTATTTTCCGGGAAACTTTTTTAAGCCGGTTTTTCCCCTCCCGGATCTCTTGTTTTTTTTTTGCCTTTTCCCTTCATTTTTTTTTCCCCCGATCCTGCTAGTCTTTCCCCCCCTTTGCTTAAAAAACTCCCCCCAGCATGATGCCCCACCACCCAATACCCCTTTACGTAATTGTTTTTTCCAGGTTCCTCCCAAAATTGGCCCTTGGATTTAGGCCCCAAAAAGTTCAATCTTGGTTTCACAGGAAACCCAAAAACTTGTTTCTTTATGGTTTTGGGGAAATCCTTTTTAGGTGCCTTTTGGGAAACCCAAGCGGGCTTTTAAAGTGCCTTTTTTACTGAGGAGTTTGGTTTTTGTCTGGGGTCCTTTCCATAAAGGCCTGAAATTGGGGGGGTGCTGCAGAGATGGGGGCTCTGGGCAGAGTGACCCCCGAGTTTCCCTTGGGCACCTCCCCACCCAACCCCCCCCCCCGGCCCCCCTTTTCCCCCCTTTCCCCAGTTTGGGCCGGGGGCTGCCAGCTCTACGAAAGTCTTGGGGTTCCAAACTTCTTCCCTTTAAAAAATGAGGAGGGGGCCCCTGTGGTTTTTGGGGGGCCTTTAAAAGCTCAAAAGGTTTTGGTACTTTCCCCAGATCTGTGCTCGAAAACAATTTTTCCCGTCTCAGGCTCAAAAGGGGCAATTTTTTTTTTCGACCTCTTTTTGGGTTGGTTTTTTTTCTCTGACATCCTGATTAAACTGTGGGGCCTTATATGACAGGTGTTTTGCCTTTCCAAATCTGTCCAAACAATGGGAATTTTTCCACAGGTGGAGTTTTTAGGAACACTGAAGGATGATAAATGGAAACCGGGAAAGCACCTAGTCAATTTCGAGCCCCATTCAAAAGGGTTTTTTACTTATGTAAATAAGGTTTTTGTTTTTTTTTTAATACTTTTCAAAAAATTTTTTTAAAAAAAACCTTTTTTTGCTTTTTCATGATGGGGGAATTTTGGGGTTTTGTGGAAAAGGGTTTTAATTTTTTTAATCCCTTTTTTTGAAAAGGCTGTTTAAAATCCCCCAAAAAAAGGAAAAAATTCCCCCCCCCCCCTTCCCCCCGTTCCCCCCGTTTCCCCCTGCAACCCCCAATTCCCGGTTTTTTCTGGTAACCCTGGTTTTGCCAAAACGTAAACCCCCATTGTTTTTAATTTATTATTACCCTTTTATTATTAAATTTTTTTAAAAAGGTTTTTTCTTTTTACTTATTTCTCTTTTTCTTTCCCTCTGAAATTTTTGGGAAAAGGGCCCTAGTAAGCATTTCACTTTTTGTCCCCCCTGTTGTTTCGAACACGTGACAAAACAAAAGTGATTTTAAATTTTACAAATGCCCGGCAAAAAAAAACTCATTACCCCGGTTCCTCCGAAGGGCCTTAAAAACTTTAGAGATCTTTTGGGACCCCTAAAGTCACTTTTGCGGGCTGCCAAAAAAAACCCCATGAGAGGAGAGGAGAGGAGAGGGAGAGGGAGGAGGGAGAGGAGAATACTAGTCAGTTGCACAACTGAATGCATTCAACTGAAATGTGTCTTCCACATTTAACCCAAACCCCTCTGAATCGGAGAGTTGCAGGGGGCTGCCTTAATCGACATCCACGTCATTGGCGCCCGGGGAGCAGTTGCTGTGGGGGTTAACTGCCTTGCTCAAGGGCAGAAGAGGAGACGAGAGGGGAGGACAGGGTACGAAAGGAGAAGAGAGGAAAGGAGAAGAGATGATAGGAGAGGGGGCAGCCAGGCAGACAGACTGGGAAGGACGACCAGAGTCCAGATGAGCACACCAGGTCAGGGACACAGTCAGCCATGCAAACTCAACAGACACCACAAAAAGTATGGCACGTCAGAGCCCCTCTCCCTCTTTTTCCAGGCCCTCTCTGAGTGGAGCCAGTTTCCACTCTAGGCTGGGGTGTGGTGCAATGCTCGCTCCTGGGAGACTTGACTGCAGACCAGCTATTCAAAACAAGGGCTGGGCACCAGCGAGAGAGAAGTCTAGTCATGGACTGCTTTTAACCCAAAGTCTCAGCCAAAGACACAGACTCAGACAGAGCATGGCTTTTTATACTGTATGCAGGTGCTTTAAAAGCCATCTGTGTGAGAAAGGAAAAGAGCTGACAATATGAGGAAGAGGCAGCTGCCAAGCTTTAGCAGACACAATGGACATACAATGGATAGAGTACTGTACGTATGCCTGGCTATACAACCAATGTAAATCAGCAGTCCTCCACTTGGGAGGCCATAGAAGGAAAGATAAAAGACAAAGAATTAAGCCCATCAATCTCTAAAGCTTCCCTCTCTGTGACCACTGAGGAGCCATGTGGTAAATCACTGAATCTCCAAACTATCTCCCTGTACCCTTTAGCTCAACACACATGCAAGCAAGCACATGAACACACACACACAAACGCACTCACACACACCCACACTTTTCATGGCTGCTGCATTCCATGTTTTATAAGATCACTTTTATTCATAACATTGCTTTTTACATCAGACAGTCTGGAAAAGATTTGGAGGTCTCCTGCTGAATAATGGTGCTTACTATACCCTGAGAGAGCTGAGATGGTATGTGACCCATTTCTACAGGCAATATGACTGTGAACATCTGGTGTTAGAAAGTTGATAGAAGTCTCAATGCTGGCATTTCTTGAAGCAAAAGGCTTTTATGGAATTTGGGCTGTGACTGAGTTTGTATTAGGAGAAGAAGGAGCACTGTTATTTGGTAGCCTATAATAGAAATCACTTCTCTGTGTTGGGGAAATGGTGTTGAGGGGAGTTGACCTGCTGGATCTGCCAGTCTAAATACCTGCCACTGAGAACCAGGAAGAAGGGGTCAGAAGTGACACTGCAGAATCTTATTGATCGTGTCTATTGTCTTTTGTCAATGTCTATTGTCTAAAAAAAACTAAATAAAATTGTACAAAAAAAATGAATGTTATCGAGCATGCCCATTGGCCTGATGATATGAACCAGGGTGAGAACAGTGTAACTCATCGGTGGAATAGAGGGGCATGTTGAACATTTATCAGCCTAGTTTCTTCCTCTCTCCCCAGCTAGATACGCCCTTTTCCTGTGAGCCAGACTATCAGTGTTATTGCAGCCTGTTCTCATGTACTGTATGTGGTGGTGACTTCACAGTCCACATGTAAAGGATATGTACCTCATCTCACAGGCACTAATACAGGCTTAGGCGGGTCTGACGCACCAAGTCTGGAACCAACAGGATCCTGAACAGCTTCTACCCCTAAACCATAAGACTGATAAATGGTTAGTTAAATAGTTAACCAATCAGCTATCCGGACTATCTGCATTGACTCTTTTTGCACTTATTTTTTTAACTCATAACATACGCTAGTGCTACTGTTTACTATCTGTCACTTTATTCCTAGTTACAGTGCAATCGGAAAGTATTCAGACCCCTTGACTTTTTCCACATTTTGTTACGTTACAGCCTTATTCTAAAATTGATTAAATCGTTTTTTTTCTTCATTAATCTACACACAATACCCCATAATGACAAAGCAAAAACAGGTTTTTAGACATTTTAGCACATTTATAAAAAGAAAAACTGAAATATCACATTTACATTAGCATTCAGACCCTTTACTCAGTACTTTGTTGAAGCACCTTTGGCAGCGATTACAGCCTTGAGTCTTCTTGGATATGACTCTACAAGCTTGGCACATCTGTATTTGGGGAGCTTCTCCCATTCTACTCTGCAGATCCTCTCAAGCTCTGTCAGGTTGGATGGGGAGCGCCTCTGCACAGCTATTTTCAGGTCTCTCCAGAGATGTTCGATCGGGTTCAAGTCTGTGCTCTGGCTGGGCCACTCAAGGACATTCAGAGACTTTTCCTGAAGCCACTCCTGCATTGTCATGGCTGTGTGCTTAGGGTCGTTGTCCTATTGGAAGGTGAACCTTCGCCCCAGTCTGAGGTCCTGAGCACTCTTAAGCAGGTTTTCATCAAGGATCTCTCTGTACTTTGCTCCGTTCATCTTTCCCTCGATCCTGACTAGTCTCCCAGTCCCTGCTGCTGAAAAACATCCCCACAGCATGATGCTGCCACCACCATACTTCACCGTAGGGATGGTGCCAGGTTTCCTCCAAATGTGACACTTGGCATTCAGGCCAAAGAGTTCAATCTTGGTTTCAGCAGACCAGAGAATCTTGTTTCTCATGGTCTGAGAGTCCTTTAGGTGCCTTTTGGCAAACTCCAAGCGGGCTGTCATGTGCCTTTTACTGAGGAGTGGCTTCTGTCTGGCTACTCTACCATAAAGGCCTGATTGGTGGAGTGCTGCAGAGATGGAGCTCTGACAGAGTGACCATCGAGTTCTTGGTCACCTCCCTGACCAAGGCCCTTCTCCCCCGATTGCTCAGTTTGGCCGGGCTGCCAGCTCTACGAAGAGTCTTGTGGTTCCAAACTTCTTCCATTTAAGAATGATGGAGGCCACTGTGTTCTTGGGGACCTTTAATGCTGCAGAAATGTTTTGGTACTCTTCCCCAGATCTGTGCCTCGACACAATCCTGTCTCAGAGCTCTATGGACAATTCTTTCGACCTCATGGCTTGGTTTTTGCTCTGACATGCACTGTCAACTGTGGGACCTTATATAGACAGGTGTGTGCCTTTCCAAATCATGTCCAATCAATTGAATTTACCACAGGTGGAGTTGTAGGAACATCTGAAGGATGATAAATGGAAACAGGATGCACCTGAGCTCAATTTCGAGTCTCATAGCAAAGGGTATGAATACTTATGTAAATAAGGTATTTCTGTTTTTTATTTTAATACATTTGCAAAAGTTTTTAAAAACCTGTTTTCGCTTTGTCATGATGGGGTATTGTGTGTAGATTGATGAGGATTTGTATTTATTTAATCCATTTTAGAATAAGGCTGTAACGTAACAAAACGTGGAAAAAGTCTACCTCAGTTACCTCGTACCCGTGCACATCGACTCGGTACTGGTACCCCTTGTATATAGCCAAGTTATCGTTACTCATTGTGTATCTATTATTACTTTTATTATTATTATGTGTTTTACTTTTCAATTATTTCTCTATTTTCTTTCCCTCTGCATTGTTGGGAAAGGCCGTGAGTAAGCATTTCACTGTTAGTCCACACCTGTTGTTTACGAAGCACGTGACAAAACAAATGTGATTTGATTTGACAAATGCCAGTGCAAATGCTCATTAGCCAAGGTCTCCTCAGAAGACCTTAAAGACATTCAGAGATCTTTAGGGACCATAAAGTCACATTTTAGCTGTCTGCAAAAAACCCTATCCTCCAGACTGATCAGTTTATCTGATCGGAGAGAATGAACAAGCCTCATCAACACCAAACAACACAGAATGCTAACCTACATGCTATAACACTGAACAGTGCCCTTCACCGCTCAGTGTAACAGTTGCCCTCCCAAACCCACACAAATACACACATTAACCCCCCCAAAACCTTTCCTGCCCACCACCACGTGTTCCCTCTTAGATTGAGTCAAAGATTGAGTCAAAATTGTGACAACAAAAACAACTAATCTCCCTTTCTGTCTCCTTCTCTCTGTTTGCATTGTGGCTGAACCACCTGTCCTTTAAGTATTCCCCTCCACAAAAATGACCTTATTTAGACGTTCTATCTGAGCCCTCCACCCTATCCTCCTTTATCTCCTTCTGTGGATGGGGAGGTTAGCCACGGCATGCCTTTTGTTTTGCTAATTCCCTTCCATTCTAAGGTGGCCCTCGCTTTCCCCCATGTGCAGGTAGGCCATGAATAGCACAGACTGGGGTAGCGCTGCCTGGTATTATTCCCCTGTACAAAAGATGCACCTGTCAATAGCTGTGTCTCTGCTTGGTGCTGCCAGGACCTGGGCCTGTTGTCCTCTGTGGCAGCAGAGAGGGAACTGGCACTCACACTGAGACCGCCATGCGCTGAGGGGCTGGCAGACAGAGCGGAGCGTGCTACAGCTCTATTGTTTTGGCTAAATGATCATGCTAAATGAGAACTCTCTCTCTCTCTCTCTCTCTCTCTCTCTCTCAGCATATACAGTGAGGGAAAAAAGTATTTGATCCCCTGCTGATTTTGTACGTTTGCCCACTGACAAAGACATGATCAGTCTATAATTTTAATGGGAGGTTTATTTGAACAGTGAGACACAGAATAACAACAAAATAATCCAGAAAAACACATGTCAAAAATGTTATAAATTTATTTGCATTTTAATGAGGGCAAAACCCTTTTTAGTATTCACCGAGGTCAGACGTTTCTTGTAGTTGGCCACCAGGTTTGCACACATCTCAGGAGGGATTTTTTGTCCCACTCCTCTTTGCAGATCTTCTCCAAGACATTAAGGTTTCAAGGCTGACGTTTGGCAACTCTAACCTTCAGCTCCCTCCACAGATTTTCTACGGGATTAAGGTCTGGAGACTGGCTAGGCCACTCAAGGACCTTAATGTGCTTCTTCTTGAGCCACTCCTTTGTTGCCTTGGCCATGTGTTTTGGGTCATTGTCATGCTGGAATACCCATCCACGACCCATTTTCAATGCCCTGGCTGAGGGAAGGAGGTTCTCACCCAAGATTTGACGGTACATGGCCCCGTCCATCGTCCCTTTGATGCGGTGAAGTTGTCCTGTCCCCTTGGCAGAAAAACACCCCCAAAGCATAATGTTTCCACCTCCATGTTTGACGGTGGGGATGGTGTTCTTGGGGTCATAGGCAGCATTCCTCCTCCTCCAAACACGGCGAGTTGAGTTGATGCCAAAGAGCTCCATTTTGGTCTCATCTGACCACAACACTTTCACCCAGTTCTCCTCTGAATCATTCAGATGTTCATTGGAAAACTTCAGACGGGCCTCTATATGTGCTTTCTTGAGCAGGGGGACCTTGCGGGCGCTGCAGGATTTCAGTCCTTCACGGCGTAGTGTGTTACCAATTGTTTTCTTGGTGACTATGGTCCCAGCTGCCTTGAGATCATTGACAAGATCCTCCCGTGTAGTTCTGGGCTGATTCCTCACCGTTCTCATGATCATTGCAACTCCACGAGGTGAGATCTTGCATGGAGCTCCAGGCCGAGGGAGATTGACAGGTCTTTTGTGTTTCTTCCATTTGCGAATAATCACACCAACTGTTGTCACCTTCTCACCAAGCTGCTTGGCGATGGTCATGTAGCCCATTCCAGCCTTGTGTAGGTCTACAATCTTGTCCCTGACATCCTTGGAGAGCTCTTTGGTCTTGGCCATGGTGGAGAGTTTGGAATCTGATTGATTGATTGCTTCTGTGGACAGGTGTCTTTTATACTGGTAACAAGCTGAGATTGGGAGCACTCCCTTTAAGAGTGTGCTCCTAATTTCAGCTCGTTACCTGTATAAAAGACACCTGGGAGCCAGAAATCTTTCTGATTGAGATGGGGTCAAATACTTATTTCCCTCATTAAAATGCAAATCAATTCATAACATTTTTGACATGCGTTTTTCTGGATTCTTTTGTTGTTATTCTGTCTCTTACTGTTCAAATAAACCTACCATTAAAATCATAGACTGATCATTTCTTTGTCAGTGGTCAAATGTACAAAATCAGCAGGGGATCAAATACTTTTTTCCCCTCACTGTTCCTGGCTCTTTTCAATTCAGGAAACATAGTCCCCTATAAAAACACCTCTGAAATAGAAAACAGTTGCCCATATTTAACATTAATGCTGTCCTACCTTCTTTGGCAGCCAGGCGTGCAGACTGGTCCGTGTGAGATGGAGTGTTGTAGGATGATGATGAACTACCTGCAACACGCCAGATGGGCACAACGTCAGAGCTGTATGATCTCAAAGTTTACAGTTATCTGTGCATAGGGCAAGACAAATTAAAAATACTGGCTAATAGGTTATATAGTATAGTAATTCAAGTAATTAATTCTAATGATTCATTATTCATTATAAACTGAGTGTACAAAACATTTCCATGACATAGACTGACCAGGTGAATCCATGTGAAAGCTTTGATCCCTTATTGATGTCACCTGTTAAATCCACTTCAATCAGTATAGATGAAGGGGAGGAGACAGGTTAAAGAAGGATTTCTAAGGCTTGAGACAATTGAGACATGGATTGTGTATGTGTGCCATTCAGAGGGTAAGTGCCTTTGAACAGGGTATGGTAGTAGGTAGTAACACTGGCCAATAACCAGTAGGTGGCAGTAAGAAGATCTTTGATTACTGTAGATCTCAATTTCCTTTCATTTGAGATGCCTCTTAAAAGTATACCTAAAAACTGCCCATGGTACATGGTAAACAATCAATCCATTCTACCCAATAAAGAATTGACCCAGCAATATTTTAATATGTAATCCTTTAAACTCGGAATGCTGTGCTGAGTCAACAATTCCACCACAAACCTCCTGACTATTAAAGTCCAGAAACCAAGACTATTTATAATAGCATAATGGCTAGCTTTTCATTTTACCTTATGGAGCAGAACTGTGCTCTGCATTCCTCTGCTTACACAGGCACCCTGGGCGGCACCAAAACGCTCTCTTAACTTTAGCTGCAACTACGCATAAATCAGAGTGGAAAAACAGACCAAAAATGCACTGGGAAAATACCATTGCTACTACTACCATAGGGAGTGTACAATTTAAGACAAAGACTACTACTATGGGGAGTTGCTGGTTAGGAAGGAACTCTAGGAGCTTTTCTGAATGGGCAGGAGGAGATGGAGAGATGAATAACAGTATGGGCTACAGCTTGGGAATTGCCACAGCAAGGGGGGTGGCGGGAGGCGAGGGGCTCTACACACCTATCCCGCTCCACCCCACGCCACCCCCAAGGCTCTGGCCCTGGTTTGGACCTGGGGCCGGTGAACAGGGGAAGCATTATGTGAGGCAGGGTCCCTGCACAGCAATCAAACGCAGCTCCCCATACAAAAATTATTCCACACTCTCAGTGTAAGCGCACGGGGTAGGCACGGCACCGACCCATCCTCAGGGGGAGAGAGAGAGATGGGGTTAGGGTTAACTACTGCGTTCCACATGGGGGCCGCCCCAGACAGGCAGAGCTGCTGAGAAAACAGATTCAAAAGAGAACGCTGGGACCGCTATTCTAAGGAAGGGAGATAGAGAGAGCGAGAGAGAGAGAGAGAGCGAGGGAGTGAGAGAGAGCGAGAGAGAGAGGGAGAGCGAGGGAGAGAGGGAGAGCGAGGGAGATAGAGAGAGCGAGGGAGGTAGAGCGAGGGAGAAGAGAGAGCGAGGGAGAGAGAGAGATGCGGGACGGAGGGAGACGAGGGAAGAGGAGAGCGAGGGAGAGAGGGAGAGCCGAGAGAGAGAGAGCGAGGGAGAGAGAGAGAGCGAGGGAGTGAGAGAGAGCGAGGGAGAGAGGAGAGCGAGGGAGAGAGGGAGAGCGAGGGAGAGAGGGAGAGCGAGGGAGAGAGGGAGAGCGAGGGAGAGAGAGAGCGAGGGAGAGAGGGAGAGCGAGGGGGAGAGGGAGAGCGAGGGAGAGAGGGAGAGAGGGAGAAAGATAGAGAAAATGGGGAGCGCCAACACTGACACTTTGGGCGAGGGAGGCTTGGCCACACCGCCTATTTATTTGGACACACTCTTCCCCCTCGAAAACACTTCCCAGTAATCTGACTGCGCAGTGGGATGACTGGCTAATGTTCAGCCTCCTTCAACCGAGCCACATCTGCCCAGAGCACTGTTTTCTTTTCTTTCTTTTCTATGAATGATGACTCTTTAAAACGCCCCCTGCCCCTCCATCCTCCATCTTGACACACCATAATATTGACAGACATCCTTGTGAGATGGTTAGACGTCATTGACCTTTGCTGAGCCCTGGCCTGTTGTTGATCCTACCAAGCTAAAATCTGTACTACCCCCTCAAACATGTATACCATTTTCTCCATCAACAAACCCATCTCAAGCCCCACACCCCCTCAAACATGTACATACCCTTCTTTCCATCAACAATCTGAGGGGCACCCACCCAGGCGGTGAGGCCACTGCCCCTTAAAGGAGTCCTCGGAGACCCCACTCATTAGACTACATTAGCTCAGTTCCCTGACCAACCCAAACCAACCAGAGGTGCTGTGTAATGGTACCTAACAGCTAACAACAGAGGCAGCCAGGCCTCTGAGCCCCTCCACTGCAGTGCTAATCTGCCAATAGAAATAACTAATGCAGGGGGAGCTCCATAAAAACCTAAAAAGAAAAGGGGAGAGAGAGAGAGAGAGAGAGAGAGAAAGAGAGAGAGAGAGAGAGAGAGAGAGAGAGAGAGAGAGAGAGAGAGAGAGAGAGAGAGAGAGAGAGTAACTGGCTGCGAAGGAGAGAACTTCAGACCTCCTTTTCCTCTGCAGCCTTCAGCCCAGATGTTTATGGTCTGAATAAACTATTGAGGTCTTGAGAATGTCCCCACACTGGAGCGGGCTGCACCAGCAGCAGCAGTAGGATCAGCAGCAGAGGCAGCCCGGGAGGCTGGGAGCCCAGACTTATCACTCTGTAAATCCCTCCAGCCACAGTCAGCCACACAGAGCAGACCAGACCAGAGCAGGGACAGCTGGGAAAGAAAGCAATGCAGCTATTCTCCTATGGCACTCAATCAGAGCCACTTCAGGCTATTTCCACGCACTTCAATAAAAACTCCCACTCTTTCATTCCCTCTTTTTCTCTCTCTCCCCCCTTTCTCCTGTCTCTGTGTCTGAGGATACAATCTCTCCTTGTTGGAGGTTTCACTGTGCTGTGCTTGGTTCGTTCCAGCACATGTGGTATCAAACCGACCTACATGGGTGCAATAAAGCAAACAGTCCGCAGTCCCTCCCTGACAGACTAATTTGAACAAATTCTCAAATTGCGCCCCAAATTGAAAGCACATTGGAGAACAGGCGGCCATCGCATATAAAATCTGGATAAGTGACCAACAATGGGGCCAAAATAATGCACAGGCAACCACCCTTATTACTGTTCGCAGCTGGAGACAGAGATTCAGATATGTGCAGAATGCCTTGCTGGCATGTGCATTTATATGATATTCCTCCCTGTGTATGACTAAGAGTAAGCAGACAGGCGTGTTGTTTCTGTTAGCATACAGCCGCAGGGAGGGGAAATGTCCCTGCCCTGCTCTGGCCTACAGTGAACAAGCTTAATGACACTGAAGAATGTTAATCAGAGTTTCAATAAACAGACCCCAAAGTAACACACAATGTACACAGATGTGTATGAAATGATTCCAGCTCGTCGAGGGCGGACCGTCGTCGGGTTGGGAGGAGAGTGGAGAAGTGGAGGACGGGAGAGGGTGAGGCATCACACGGCCTGTAATCACTAAATACTTCCAGGGCCTGCCTCTCCCTCTCCCTCTGTATGTGTGTCTGAGTCGGAACCGAGAGCTCGGCCCCGCTCCAGCTCTCCTCGTGAGTGAAGCCAGAGGTCTGCGTTCTGGACGGGCTAGCTCATTGTCTGTGATTGTGTTTGTTTGTGCTGCAGGGGGAAAAGATCAGCTTCAGTTTCAAATCTGTGGCCCTGAGGTCAGGATAAACCCTGCCCTCTTCCGACATCGTGCCTTTACTAACACAGTTTCTCCCACCTCAACCCGAGCTCACCGCCCCGCGTTAATATACGCCCTAGTGCTGCTTATTTCTCAAAAGGCCTGCCACTGGTCAGCTAGGCACGGGACGAAAAAAGAGCATTTTTCTCCTGGCTTGGGAAGGGGTCCAAAGCAATTTCAATAGCCGAGCGGAAGATTCCGAAACATCTCTTCTGTTTCCAAAACACACAACAACTAAATCAAAAGAATCATGGCGGGGGGAGAGCCGCAGTGCAGGACGCCTAAGCCAGGCTAAGTCCCGCGGCAACCGTTCCTAATGAAAACTGCTCTGCGGAGAGGGAGAGGGCCCGGAGGCGGTCAGTCAGACACACAGAGCCTCCAGTCCATGCTGCATTGTAACACAATGGGGCTGTTATACTCACGGCAGTCATCCCCATTCCCTGAGCCCAGACGCCACGCACAGCACAGAGAAAACTGTTGTCACTCACAGAATAAAGTTCCCATTACATCACAGCAAGACCCATCACAATTTTTAGGAGAAACGTTAGAATTATTAACCATTAGGGGCTCCACCCAGCTCCATGTCATGACATTTTGTAGCTGCAGCTGCTATTCTTGCCATACAGTAGAGTGCAAACAGCAGAGGATAACCGTCATACATAGAGGGTGGGATATCCATGGAATTATATTTCCTGGTTTACTGAAATAACTGATTTTATGGATGGCCACCAACATTATGGCTTAGTATGTTTTGTGATGGCCATCCACCAACTCCATAAAATGCAGTGGATGTCTATAAAACCTAAACTATACAGCACAGAACGGTACACAGTCCAGATGATCTGTACGCGATGCCAGATGCTGCCTGTTCTCCTGATATCTTGCTTATAGATGGCATTTGCATATTGGTGCAGAGAAACCTTGTTTCTTTACAGTCGTGTCTCGCTGCCAAAACATGCGAGGCCGTAATGTACAAAAGGCCTTGCAATGAATCAGCCAAGCTGCCTCCATTGTATATTACAGATAAACTTCCTGTTCTCTGCTGAACACATAGGCCTCACTCGCTCGCGTGATTCCTGAGGCAATGCACCTGGGCTTCATCTTACTGTGGCCTATGTGGAATAAGGCAATCCTAAATGGAGGGAGAGCGGGTTACAGTCCAGAGATGATGGTTATCTACAGGGAAAAAACTCTTAAGTCCTCATGGCTGCGATGGCTGTATGTGCCAAGGCCTGCAGGGCAGCCATTTTGGAGAAATGGGGTCCAGGTTTCCAGTAAGGCTGTATCATTGTCTGGCGACTGTAACATGATGACAATGGTGACAAAACACAGTGAGTCATGTTATTCCCCTTGGTTTGGCATTCTTACCCTCAGTAAAACATCTAAAAGCAGGGGCGATGCGCTGAGAAACAGAGATGGAAATGTCTGTGCTATTTAAGCCTCCTCTACTCTTTATGAAAAAAACTATCCAGGCAAAAGACATAATGTAAAACATTACAAACGGGTAAACCACGTTTTCTGGCATTCTCACATAGCCGGGTGAACGAGATTGGATGTAAATTATGTCAATGTCAGACTGCAGTACAGACTGGCTAATGGAAGAATTTCTGTTTTGTCATCTTGTCACTGTTTGTTACCACATTGAGAATAAAGATCACTGAGAAACTAGAGTCCTACACATCCACAATCCATCACTGACATATACTGAAAAAATATATAAACACAACATGCAACAATTTCAAACATTTTACTAAGTTACAGTTCATATAAGGAAATCAGTCAATTTAATCTATGGATTTCACATGACTGGGAATAAAGATATGCATCTGTTGGTCAAAAATACTGTTGATACCTTTCAAAAAAAGGTAGGGGTGTGGATCAGAAAACCAGTCAGTATCTGGTGTGACCACCATTTGCCTCATGCAGCGCGACACATCTCCTTCGCATAGAGTTGATCAGGCTGTTGATTGTGGCCTATGGAATGTTGTCCCACTCCTCTTCAATGGCTGTGCGAAGTTGCTGGATATTGGCGGGAACTGGAACATGCTGTCGTACACGTCAATCCAGAGCATCCAAAACATGTTCAATGGGTGACATGTCTGGTGAGTATGCAGGCCATGGAAGAACTGGGACATTTTCAGCTTTCAGGAATTGTATACAGGGGGCTGTGCATTATCATGGTAAAATGAGGTGATGGCAGCGGATGAATGGCACGACAATGGGCCTCAGGATCTCGTCACGGTATCTCTGTGCATTCAAATTGCCATCGATAGAATGCAATTGTGTTCTTGTCCGTAGCTTATGCCTGCCCATACCATAACCCCACCGCCACCATGGGGCACTCTGTTCACAACGTTGACATCAGCAAAACGCTTGCCCACACGACGCCATACACATGGTCTGTGATTGTGAGGCCGGTTGGACTTACTGCCAAATTCTCTAAAACGATGGTATGGAAATTAACATTTAATTCTCTGGCAACAGCTCTGGTGGACATTCCTGCAGTCAGCATGCCAATTGCACCCTCCCTCAAAACTTGCGACATCTACAGCATTGTGTTGTGTGACAAGACGGCACATTTTAGAGTGGCCTTTTATTGTCCCCACCACAAGGTGCACCTGTGTAATGATCATGCTGTTTAATCAGCTTCTTGATATGCCACACCTGTCAGGTGGATGGATTATCTTGGCAAAGGAGAAATGCTCGCTAACAGGGATGCAATCAAATTTAAGAAATGGAACACTAGTCACTTTAAAAATGTTTACATATCTTGCACTACTCATCTCATATGTATATACTGTATTCTATTCTATAATATTCTACTGTATCTTAGTCCATGCCGCTCTGTCATTGCTTGTCCATATATGTATATATTCTTAAATTCCATTCCTTACTAGATTTGTGTGTATTGGGTATATGTTGTGAAATTGTTAGATATTACTTGTTAGATATTACTGCACTGTCAGAGCTAGAAGCACAAGCATTTCGCTACACCCGCAATAACATTGCTAAACACGTGTATGTGACAAATAAAAATTGATTTGATTTGATTTGTGCACAACATTTGAGAGAAATACGTTTTTTATGCATGTGGAACATTTCTGGGATCTTTTATTTCAGCTCATGAAACATGGGACCAACACTTTACATGTTGCGTTTATATTTTGTTCAGTATAGATCAATTCAAATGGCTGCCAGAACTTACTTTCCCTGAGGTAATTGAGATGAGAGAGTAGGACTTCAGCGTTGTACATGGTGGTCAGTCGGAGGAAGTCGTCCTTGCTCATCTTACACAGCTCCTTGCCGTCTGTGTTCTGGAACATGGCCGTGTCCATCTCCAGCAGGCCGTACTCCTTGATGGCCCACTCTAGCCACTGGCGGACATGATCCTGAGACCACAGCGATGGATCTGGAGAAATACAAGGGTACAGAGGTAGTGTAAACAGCACAGGACAATCTACTCTTTTCACAGTGATTGAGAATGCATTTAAAGTTTTGGTCTCATAATTATTTCCAAATGATGGCTAATGTATCCATCCGTTATTTTCACTTGTTTATTTATCTAGCTATTCATTCATCCATCTTTCAATTCATTTATGTGACCCATCCTTTCCCAGATTGTTTAGCCTATTTAATACGATTATAGAGTCAAATCATATGCCTACATTTATTCTAGAGTATATCTGATGTACCACACATCTCTTCCAAGACTGACAGAGAGAGAATGTTTCCTAAAGCATTTATCCCTCATAAATAATACTCTGTAATATGTGAATCAATTAGCCAATGTAAAGAGCTCTGGCTGAACAGACCTCTGTTGCCTGTATGTGTTTAGTCATGCTCCCATGAGTAAGCTAAAACATTACTAACAAAAGCATCAAAGAGCCTTCACCCGTGACCCAGCTAAATACATCCGGGGCTAATAAAAACATTTCTACAACATCGGAAAATGTATGCCAATTGAGAGCACGTTTATAGGCCCTCCATCTGACTATGAAGAAAAACGATTGAAAAGTAAACCTTTCTCACAGCCTGGAATGTAGAGTCATACTACTTATAGGTCTAGTTTATGAGCAATGAATAACATCGGAAATAAAATAAAAACAATATGTGATTTTCGTTAATTATAAAGAAATACCACGTGGTTTGTATCATAGAAGTCATCGTTACCTGCGGGGACGATGACTCTCCTCTCATTGGTGGTCATGTTGGGGGGCGGAGCGTTCTTCTCATCCATGTAGCTTCCATAACTCATCTGAGACGTGTCGTTGCCCCCCACCAGCTTATTGCATTTACCCCCCACACTGCAGTCCACTGGGGACTCCCTGCTGCACAGACACAAAGTGTCAGTGTCAGGGAGAGACATCTTTATATTGGCTCTAAGCATGTATTAAAGTGTGATGAAAATGGTTTGAAATATAGACCAACCACAGGGCCAATGGAGCAGATGAGTGAGTGGTAGATGAGCAGCTCACTTACTGCAGAAGGTGGCCAAAAATCATATCTAACTGTACACAAGCAATTGTTATGATCAACTATCCTTTTGAATATAGACTAATCTAGGAAACATCAACTCAAATCAGCAGAGACGAAGACATACAGGGACAAGACATAAGAGCTGGAGTCCAGTGAGATGGACTGTGTCTACTGCTGAATGTACCTGGATCCATTGATGTGGTCATACTCTCTCTTGACGTTGACTCGGACTGGCTGGTTAATCCACTCTTGCTGAGGGGGTAATGGGTTGATTTTATGGGGCTGGACGTAGTCCTGTGTGCCAGATGCAGTCATGTCTGTCTTGGGTAGAGGGGCAGCAGCAGCGTAAGGAGGCTCAAACAGGGACTGGTCTTCACTCACCACTGACAGTGCCTCCTGCAGGCCAGAGGAGGAACAGGTTATAGCGGGGCACCTCTAGAACAATAGAGAGAACCTGTGATCTCACAACTTCAATCTCTCACTTGTTGTAGACACATTTTGTTTACAGTAATTATGTGCAGTTATGTGTCATATCGCAATCTGGCATTCTAAGTGGTTTGTGTATACAGCGATTGAGCCTATGTAGCAACTACAGCTTCCTGTTGATGTTGCCATGACTTCAAACATGACTACAATTCTGATGACTACTACACACAACAAGATCTAGTCTGAGTTTTCCTTCCACAGAGAAGGAACGTTAGCTGAAGACTCAACAGAAACAGCGAGGGGGTCAGTTCTACATTGTCCCCAGAGCAGTGGGTCAACTGGAGCAATGTACATTTATTAAAGAAAACAAACAGCTCCACTGGAACACTCCTCTGTCTGTGTCCACGTGTTCCGTGTCATGTCTGGTAACTGATGCATGGAATACATATCAGCTCTATCCTTGCCAGATATGTATATGGACTAATGGGAATACAATACTTGCTATTCCAATAATCCGACATACAATAACCTATACACAGAGCCAAAGAGATGTACAGTATGTATGAGAGATACAGGTAAACGGCTCTGCCTGTATAGACTATGGCAGCCTCTTAGTTAAATCAGTTTCAAACCCTCTGTTTACTATGGATTAAGGAGCTGGTGAGGCCTGCCTTGCCTCAGCTCTGTCAACAACATATTTTAGTGAAACAAAGCAGCAGCAACAGAGACAAACTGATCTAGAGTCATTACAGTTAAGCCATTTAAAGGATAAGGCTCATGTCTGACACACATCTGATCTGATAGCATCTGATGTCACAGATTAGACAGAGATATCTGTAATCCTGAGGGATTAAAGATATTTTCAAAGATAACATCCTAGATCAAGACAAATATGTGCGATTAGTGCATAGTTCTTTCCCCGTCGAACAACAAAGTATGTAGGCATCAAAACACGTCTGACTGTTCATGAAATAGCAAACATCGATAAAAAAAGGCTACTAGGGCTACATTTTAATGAGCCCTAACAAGTGAAAAAGTGAAGCAGAGTTTGCCCTGTGGACTGGAGTTGCAGTGATACATGCAGTGGCCAGTCTGCTGTTTACAGCCTGTGTACTCATCTCCTGAGATGTCCAATCTTGGGATGGTGATTTCTATCTTCACTGCTAATCAGAATAATACAGTACATTCACGTACAGTGCATTCCAGCAAACTAACGCTGAATGTACAGTACCAGTCAAAAGTTTGTTTTTCTTTATTTTTACTATTTTCTACATTGTAGAATAATAGTGAAGACATCAAAACTATGAAATAACACATATGGAATCATGTAGTAACCAAAAACGTGTTAAACAAATCAAAATATATTTTATATTTGAGATTTTTCAATAGCCACCCTTTGCAATGATGACAGCTTTTCACACTCTTGGCATTCTCTCAACCAGCTTCACCTGGAATGCTTTTCCCAACAGTCTTGAAGGAGTTCCCACATATGCTGAGCACTTGTTGGCTGCTTTTCCTTCACTCTGCCATCCGACTTATCCCAAACCATCTCAAATGGGTTGAGGTCGGGGTATTGTAGAGGCCAGGTCATCTGATGCAGCACTCCATCACTCTCCTTCTTGGTCAAATAGCCCTTACACAACCTGGAGGTTTGTTGGGTCATTGTCCTGTTAAAAAACAAATGATAGTCCCACTAAACCCAAACCAGATGGGATGGCGTATCGCTGCAGAATACTGTGGTAGCCATGCTGGTGAAGTGTGCCTTGAATTCTAAATAAATCACAGACAGTGTCACCAGCAAAGCACCCCCACACCATAACACCTCTTTCTCCATGCTTTACGGTGGGAACTACACATGCGGAGATCATCCATTCACCCACTCCGCATCTCACAATAACACGGTGGTTGGAACCAAAAATCTCAAATTTGGACTCCAGACCAAAGGACAAATTTCCACCGGTCTAATGTCTATTGCTTGTGTTTCTTGGCCCAAGCAGGTCTCTTATTATTAATGGTGTGCTTTAGTAGTGGTTTCTTTGCAGGAATTTGACCATAAAGGCCTGATTCACACAGTCCCCTCTGAACAGCTGATGTTGAGATGTGTCTGTGACTTGAACTCTGGGAAGCATTTATTTGGGCTGCAATTTCTGAGGCTGGTAATTCTAATGAACGTATCCTCTTCAGCAGAGGTAACTCTGGGTCTTCCATTCCTGTGGTGGTCCTCATGAGAGCCAGTTCCAAAATAGTGCTTGATGGTGTTTGCGACTGCACTTGAAGAAACTTTCAAAGTTCTTGAAATGTTCCGTATTGAATGACATTCATGTCTTAAAGTAATGACTGTCGTTTCTCTTTGCTTATTTGAGCTGTTCTTGCCATAATATGGACTTGGTCTTTTACCAAATAGGGCTATCTTCTGTATACCCCCCACCCCCTCCCTACCTTGTCACAACACAACGGATTGGCTCAAACACATTTAGAAGGAAATAAATTCCACAAATTAACTTTTAAGAAGGCACACCTGTTAATTGAAATACATTCCATGTGACTACCTCATGAAGCTGGTTGAGAGAATGCCAAGAGTGTGCAAAGCTGTCATCAAGGCAAAGGGTGGCTTTGAAGAATCTCAAATATAAAATATATTTAGATGTTTTTAACACTTTTTTGGTTACTATGTGATTACATATGTGTTATGTCATAGTTTGATGCTGCACTATTATTTTACAATGTAAAAAATAGTAAAAATATAGAAAAACCCTTGAATGAGTAGGTGTGTCCAAACTTTTGACTGGTAGTGTATGGGTCAGTGATGTGCCAAAGGTTCTAAATTGCCCAAAGTTACAGCTTTTGAGGCCATTCATTGGGAGGGCTGGATGGACGATACTTTGTGACAACATCTGATAATGTTCTCAGAGTTGGACAGACGTGCCAGTGATTTCATCAGTCAAACCATCATAGCTGCATACTGGCAGTCTGGCAGCCATATACCCTATCAGAGTGGTCTATACAGAAGCTAGCCTGGGCTGTGGATGATATGTTGAGAGCAGTGAGGGAAAGGGCAGCTGTGCTATTATGGCTGTTGCACGTTACATTTACACTGACATATCAGCCCCTGCCATCTAATTAATGATTGGCAAGTGGCATGTGCCTATCAAGATTACAGGTTTTAAAAATACTGTGTGTATGCACTTCCAAACAGACAGTCTAACACACCAGTCTGAGTCTATTTGGTATGTGTGTTCTGTATCAGTGTGGAACACACACACTGCCAATGGTAAGGGTGCAACAGAGATACAGTTCATTGATCTACATTCATTGATCTACATTCTTATCTTCTGAACATCTTGTGCTAACATCCCTTCCCATGTAGGCTATTCAAGTAGCCTACAAAATAATATTCACAGGGAACAAAAAGAATAGCAGTCCAAGTCTTGCTTTCTCTAAATGATTTACAGTACTTATCAATAATTATATGGTACCATATGATGCCATTATCAACTCAACATAGGCTAATGTTGTTCACCACTCTCATTTATAAAGTAACAGGTCTTCCTAAGCTCTTCTTTGGAAACTGTGACAGTGAAAGTTGCCACCTGCCTGGGCCACCACAGATGCTTTACAGCCAAACGGCCTGGCTGCAAATGCCTCACAATGCGTTTTTTTTTTTAAGGGTCTGTGCGCCAGTACCCAGTGCACCACTTCCATCCAGACTGCACACGTCTATTGTGTCGTCCACACACACCCATCAGCATCGTTGCGATTCAGGAGGCATTCCTGTCCTTTGTTTGAGGAGGAAAGGGAAACCTGTCAGGAAACCAGATTGTGTAGAACAGGAAGCTCTCATGGCTCGATAACCCACCCCTTTGATGAGTAAAGTCTGAATACAGTTAGTAGTCAATCAAATATACAAACAGATACATACACAGTCCTGATACATTCATAATAATATAGTCATTATTGTTGTTATATTATTGTCATCATTACATTATAATTTAGCAGAATGTAATCAATCATTTCACAAGGCCTAAATGTTTCTATTTTGCATGTTTGTGTATTAAACAATCACAAACCAGTCAGGTGAGAATAATTTAATATAAATTCAACTTTTCTGTGCAGTCAACGCCTATACTGTTCCAAAACTTACACCGCACCAAGCTGCCACTTCAACCACACAAACCCACTTATTTCAATATCCAAAGAAAACACACTGGCAGAACAATACTATTATAACGGTCCAGTTAGTTAGAAATAGGTGCAGAATAACTCTATTTGACAATCGGCTATGTCTACTCAAACTCAAGACACAATACCGTGGTGTGAAATGCTGGGACCTAACCATCAAACATCTGCATAGCCATGCATCTGGAATTTCAATACTGGAGGCTGCATGGAGGACCACGCTTGAATACCCCTCCCTCAAGACTAAAATATGCACTCCCCTATTATGAATTACTTTTTGTCTTCAATATAAATATAAATACCCAGGTAAGACTGTGAGCCTTTTGTTATTAGTGAATTACAAGAAGGAGATGCGCAGTTTTCGCTTCTAAATCACTCCATGATATTTCCAAATGACATTTTGGCCATTGATAAGGCTACTAAAAATGGCAAGTGTTCAACACTCGTTTTACAACCGAAAATATGCGTTAAAAAGCTATGGTTTTACGCATGGATTCTACTTCCTTGTATAGCCTGCATAATAAACGCCATGAACCACCAAAACACCATCATTAACGTTTTGAACCATGAACTGTGAGAGGATCCCCGAGCACAGTGCCACCACTATTGCGCAGCCACATCTTTGACACATCATACTTTACAAAGAAACGCACGTTCATCTAATGACACAGCCATATATTGCTTAATCCCTCGCCAACACTATTTCAACTGGAGAAATATAATTGCTCTCTATTTTGTTATATAATACAGACTTTTCACTGAATAAAATAAGCACTTTGTTTAATTCCAGATGTGCGTCTACGCGCTCGTTCCAACATTGAAAACATATATCGAGTCTAAACATTTCTTTTCCAACCAAAGCTTCTTTTCACTTTCAGAGTTTCCTAAAGGAAAATGAAACTTCTGGATAAAGAGGAAAAGAGAAGGAAATCTGGTTACCGCTTTAGGAGCAAAATAAAAAGCCGTTCATTGATCAACATTGTAGGCTACTGCTCACAGACATAGTAACTCATGCTAAAAGGAGGCGCAACTCCGAAAAGCAAAGCTCTCACAAACTCGTCCACCCCGTCCTCTACCCTTACCTTAATAGTTCCGTCCATTTTGGGCAATTTTCAGCGGACCCCAACAATATTCCAAACATGACACGCTCCTGAATTAAATCCAGCCCCCGATATGTCGCAGAGAGAACGAGACAGTTAACCGGATGGTTTTTTTCCTCTACATTTGGGAAGTGAAGTCACCGCTTTTGAGAAGGAAGCTATGAGTGTCACTGCAAGCCCTGCCTTCATTGCAGCTCCAAAAAGCAGGATACTTGTCCCAAAGAGATAAGCAGGGAAAACAATTGCGTGTTCCCCCCGCTGTTAATGTTTTTACTCGGAAATATTTACAGAATGGTTGCCAGCGTTATGCATATGTTGTTGTAGGCTACATTTGTGTAATTTTTTATCCAAACGTCACAGACACTGGCGAATGAGTTTGTTTCAACAATTCCATCAATATACATTTATTATGTTAAATTAATTTGCCAATGAAAAGGTTATAATTTAAGCCGGTATAGACTGTTATGTGATTCCATAATGTTTTATAACCTCCTACTTGCTTAAATGCAATACGTAAAACATTTGTTTCCACAATTCAGATTTTACTGTAGCCTAAATCATCCCCTACTCCTTTAACGTCTTATATTCGCGTTTCCACTGCGAGACAGAGATATAAAATAGAGTTTCACTTTCAAAGCAGACAGATGTTCTCCTCGAGAGTGCTGATGAAATTAACTGTAAATCAAACCAAGAGGAATACGAACATGAACTACCTGTGGCAAGGGTTGATGCGATCTAGGCTACTCTTTGTTATAGCCTTCCAAGCCTCTGTGAAGTTTACCTGAAACACCATTAATAAAATCCAAGCACGCAGCGCCCCAGACGCATGTTATCATGATCTGCTCTACACGTGTGCATCTGCTATCCAACACAGTAGGGAATGATAATGGATTGTATATTTCCAAATATTGCAAAGGGGAACCCCCTCTCTTAATATGTTTGGAGTTTAGTAAATGTGTATGGTTTTCATTAATGTAATGATGAAGTATACCTACTCCCATGTGAAGTTATTACATTGCTATTACATGTTATTACATTATTATAGGCTTTTATTATTATTACTATTATTATTTTACTATTAGGACTAGGCTATAGTTGAACTACTTTTTTCCTTAGGCTACTGGAGCCATGGACAAAAATCTCCAGTCCCCACCCCCAACCATTTTTCCTCTACCTTTGAAAATTGCCCTCATCAATTCAGACAAAATTTCAGCGCAGATGCTAGACATGGAGCCAGTTCTGAACGTGACCAGACCAATAGGGCTCTGCCTGGGGAAGCGGCCATGCCACAGAGCGGCCAAACCGAGCCTGCGCCACTGCGACTGACAGACGGGCCGGCCTGTCTGCTCTCGACTTGGGGGTCTGTTGCAGGAGAGGCCCCCTCGAGACCACCACATCTGGATCCTGCTTGGGGTCAAGGCTTCTCTTGCCTGAGGCCAGTTCAGCTTCGTGTAATTAAGGGAGACACCTTGTTTAACTATTTAGTGGCCGTTACTTTTTCTTATTCAACATTCCACTGTTTTGGTTTTGTATCGGATTTCGTTCATTTTCGTTCAAAAGGAAAGTAGGCTGAATTATGTTATGGTATACTATTATTATAGATTCCATCCAGTTTAGACCCGTTTACAATAGCAGAGGGCATTGGTATGGCTTAAGTTTTTGAAAATAATAGATGTGTATTATTTTAAATAGCCTATTGACTAGTAGGCCTAATAGTGAACAACTGTCATTTTATGGGCCATATAAGTAGGCCTATTTCAAATATGCCTAATAACCCATAGAACGCTAACACAATCTTGTGTGATTTGTTGACACCTGAGGTTACTTGAGGTATAATGTGACCAAACTCTGAAATCACCTGGCACTATTGATTGAGTTGGTCATAGAGCCACAGTAACCGAGGCAAACCACTAAAAAACTAAAGACTAAGTAAGAGCTAGGCTATAGCTAATCAAATTATTCACGCCATTACGCACGAAACATGCAGGTTTATGCAAAGAGAGAAAATATGTCCCGGGATCCGCCAAGGCCATAATGAATACAGTGGTAACAAACATTTTCGGAGGCCAATAAACAGATGCAAGTTGGTTTATACAGCGAACCACAGAACATCTGGCTTGAGGCTGAAACTTGACAGCCAGACATTTCCTACCACGAGCTGTGGGAAGCCATAGCTCCTCCATTGGACAATACAAGAAGTGGGTGGTTACCACTTAGGTTAGTTTAAGTTTTTAAATGGTTGCCCTTTTGCTCATCATGAATTTACAGCACTTCACAACTTCACTTGCTTACATGTGCGCAAGAATAGCCTATATAGGCCTAAACGTCTCCATAATGTTACCAAATGATTTAAGGGTAAATTATAACGGTGATGATTATGCTGGTATTATTATAGGTTTTCATCATAATTATTATACAAGATTAGTAGCCTACTGAAAGAGGCCTATGTTTCTATTATTCGTGAACAAATATTAATTCATAAAATATAAAACAAACTAACATTAGGCCTACTAAAAACCACTTCTATAAATTAATTTATGTGACAAACGTTTCAAGCCTATTATTCTAACCACTAGGCCTACATAGCCATAGATATGGATCGGCCATTTAAGTTCTGGTAAGCCCCTTCCATCTCTCGGCAAAAATAAAAACAAAGTAAAAATACTCAGGCCAAACAGCGGAGACTGCAGCACACAAGACCTAACTGTCTGGTCCCTTGCTCCGGGCCATAATTAATTTGAGATTTATTTTTATTGGAGAGCTCGAGTCTCGCCTGGCCTTAACCAAACAAAACAAATGCTAGACCATGGATTCGCTTGAATGAAGCAGAATATTTCTTTAAAATGTGTCTTGAGGCGTGCCTGGTTCACATTCTAACCAATATCTTGCCCCAAAATGCAAAATAATTCAATGAAGGGTTCGATTAAAACCAGGGCAATGCGATATTCATTGACCTGACGAACTTTGTCTTAAATTTGGGTTGCTTAATGAATCTTAAGCATTCAGTGGTTAACCAAAGAGTACTTTGTACAGGTTTTTGGATTGGTTTCCCCGTCATTGCCTTTTTGTCTTATTTAGGGAGCAAAAATTGTAATTTCAAAGCACATTTTCTCCTCAAACATTCCTTGCTGTCCAAGTCTCCCAAAACAAATCGGGAATTGTTCAAAGGACTCAAGCAATGTGGCCAGTGAAACTTAAGTATTTCTGCAGAGCGCTACAAACGTTATGACTGTATGAAAAGAGCCCTTATATGCAAAGGGAAATAAGTCGCCAAAACATAACAACTCACTCTTGGAATATTTTGATTATAAAGATATTATGAATGGCTTGACAAGCACAATTGTTCATTTTCAAAACCATACAGGCTCCGCCTATATGCAATTGGTCTTCGACCAATGATCGATGTAAGATATGGCATCACATTTCCAATATTATTTTAAAACAGCCTGATTCACATAATAGCCTACCGAAATGTTGATGTATTATGATGAGCAATCAACAGGCAGCACAATGACAAGTAGGCATATATACTAACACAACACATTCCCATAATACATGACGACTGCACTTACACTGATAGTTTCCTAAACTCAGGTTATGGCATGTCCTGGATTGTGCCGTTTAATGTAGGATATAAGATTAACAATGGGAATTAATATTTCGTTTCAAACCAATTGTCCCAAGGCCTATAAATTGTCTGGTTGCAGGAATTACACGATGTACCATATGATTCAATGCACAGAGTTTTAAACGTGAAAACCAGATGTCCACTATTTGCTTTGTTTACATTCTTTGAGACTGTGGCGGAGAGAGAACAAAAACTGCGTGATGTCAAATATAATAATGTGCTATAACAGTCCCGCACTGAAGGCAAAGAAATTAAATGGATCTTGATGTCCAGACAGATGAACAGAATCACATTATACAGTAGGCTTCCATACAATGTTTGAATACAGGCCTATTCTTGCAGAACGGTTATAACATGATAACGACGATGGAATAGAGAGAGACACTTGTGCCAATTTATAGGATACCTATTCAATATCCCTCTCATATTAGGTCTAGGGTAGGCATACCGATAGCGATTTAAAAATGACAAGCAGACACTAATTATTCACAAAGTATCATCATGAATATAAAATTAGGGAGGACCCAGACAGTCCACCAAAATTACCTGCTCGAAGAGACGATGTTGTCTTACCTTGACGTAAGACGAAGTGTCAGGCACGGTCTGAAACATGTTCATAGAACTGAGAGGGCCGAGAGGTGTTCAACAGTGTTCAACCGGCCCTGGGGAGAGGAGAGGAATATTAGCACAAAATAGGGGGAAAACTGAAAAAGCGAAATATATTCAAAAATAATAATGCAATAAAAGAATTATAACAACACAAGTAAATAGAATAGTAAAACATATTAGTAATGTACTAATAATGTGCATAATACTACTTCTAATAATAATGCGCATATTGATCAATTGTGGTTCAATGCAAATGAAAATAATTCAGTATGTAATAACAATGTCATGACAAATAAAGCCTATAGTGTGGGGAATAATGCATATTATGTCATGCCAATATGTAATGTCTAAATAGCTATGATAGCTATGTCTGATTTGTGGAAGAACGACTCTGCTTCCTATTGGTAAAATAGCTACAGTAGGCTAGACGTAACACTGGGATAACAAACTCTCCCGCCCACTCCTTCAGTAATGCATTCGACCATCAACAACCTCTCTTCATAATGCACTAGCATCCACACAGACAGCATTCAAGCTTCATTCATCCATTAACTCATACTTCATTGACTCTTTTGTTAGCTATTTTATTTTATTTTAAATGAAATATCTTGTATTTTTAGGGCCCCATGCACACTTTTGTGCATTTTCAATGGCAGTGATCTCCTGAAAATATTCCCTTCAGGCTAACAGTCCCGTTTTCTGCACTCTGGTTGTTATCAAATTAGTTTTGTTTGGATATTTTTTCTATTCGCCCTCAAGTGAAATTCTTTATTTATATAGACTTTTAGCCAAGTCTCCAAGCCTCAGGCCACATATTGTGGTTTCAATTAAATAAACAATTTGAAAAACTTTTTACTTTCGGAAGCCTTTTGCTATTGTTCATACTGTTGTGATATCAGGGTAAGTTATTGAAAAAGTAATCAATAACCACCACAGCTAGAGAGAGATCTCTGGAGCCCGCCACGAGCACCTTGCGGTTTTGTGAATTGCGATCCATTCCGTGCAACCACTTCCACCAAAATAAGGAATAGGTCAGATTTGGTTCATTGGCCCACTGTAAGTTATTGGACACAGACTTGACTCATTCAGACATATGACCGTCCTTGCCGTGTTGTTTCCTTCGTCACATATTTAGTGGCACAATGATAATCTAATAACCAATCACATATTCCCATGCATTATACCACTGTTCATGATGACCAGAACCACTACCATGGTTGAATGACTTTAACTTGCTCCATAGACAACTCATGTGGAGAGAGCAGGGCAGCAGAGCCCCAACCCCAACCCCCATCACGTTTCTCCCTAAAGCTTAGCACATATTGAAACACTTTTCGCTTTAATAAGTGCAGCTTACAAAGTCTAGGGTGAAAGGGCAGCTCGAGGACGGTGTCTTTAGCGGTTCCCTGTGTGCAATTATCAAGAAGGCTGGCACATTCAGCATTTAACATTCCTAACATCAAGCAAATTACACTGAGACAAACACTGGTCTCCAGAACGAGTGAATAATGAAAACGAACTTTTTATTGTCAGTGCAAAGATTGCAGCCATAGCCTAATTAATTTTGACACATCCGCTGACATGAGACATTCACTGTCATTGTGAAAACGGGGAATACCGAAAGGTAAAGTAGCACTTGTCACTATAGGCCTACAATACATGGTGCAGGGCTCCCAAAACAACAGCGGCATTATGTTAAAAATAACCACATTTCAGAAATACGACGAAAACTAAATCGACCACTACACATACAGAATTCATGTTATATCAATCTATAAATAAATACATATAAAACACACGGACTGACTAGTGTCTGATCAGATATTTTATAGGCCCACATTCACATATTTTATGGAATCCTTTCACGTTTGGCTGAAATGTTTTGGTTATTGAATTTCTGCCTCAGAACCGGCTACTGATACATTATCCAAGGGGCTTATGATCATGGCACGATTTATAATTGTAGGGGACCAATATTTTCGTATTTTCAGCTCCTGTAGGCAAACGTTAGGCTCGCCTCATAAAGTTTCCCAAATGCATCCAATTTCTAAATGGTAAAAGAGCATAGAATTCCGCATCTGTAGCCAATTAGCCGACTCGCGGCTCAGGAGGACTGTTGAAAAACGGCAGTGACTTTCCTCCGAGACAGCCCGTGGGCTGGAAGCCTCTAGTGTTACATTTTAAGCAAATTACCTTGCACGAGAGCTTGCTGTTATCCATCATACATGAGAACGTACTGATTTCCCCTAATCTATGCACTTTTTTCTAACCACAGTTTTCAGTCATCTAGCAACCATGAAAGCGAGTTATATTAGGGCAAACTAAAATACATTTCGAAAACAAACATGACTTGTAAACGAAAAAGAAACAAAATGTCATTTTTCTCAGATGACAGCCTGCAAAACATTTGTTTAATCTAAATGGAAACCAGTTCCGACGACTGGCATTGAATCTTGATAAATTAGATAGTTTTATGAAAAGACAGGCTACATTAATTTAGAATTAGTAACAAAACAGTGAAATTGATTCATGGTCACCAAACACACAGCATGCACAGAGCTTTGTGGCTGGTTAGAATAGCCTACGAGTCGCAATCTTACAAATGCCATTTCCTCACTCACCTGTCGTTATGTTGTCAGTCGTCTATTCTTTCAGTTTAATTATTCCCCAATTTAAATAATTTGTCCCGTCTATTCAAAGTCGTTACCATGGATGACAGTAAGTTATTTTGAGAAGGTGTATGGAGCGCAGGGTGTATGAATGGGAATGTTACTGTGATGAGAGAGCCGCCAGCCGGCAACCAATGGGAAGTGAGTGAAAAACCTCCCCTTGCGTTTAGTGTGAGAGGGAGCCGGAGCTGCAAGTCAATTGAACCATGAAATAAGGGACATCTAGAAGACCTAGGAACAGCACCATAAAAAAGGCAAGTAGTGAGAGGTCCTTTTCAAATTGGAAAAAGACTAGGGCCTAATGTCCTTCCGCCACCCTTTCGTAGGCTATTGACTGTCACCAAGTGTTTTTAGGACAAAATAAATAGGCATTTCTACACACCTGTCCATGCAGGCTAGGCTTATGCTATGGATACACAGGAAATCGAATTAACTTTTTTACAAAACTTAATTAAAATGCTTTACCCAAATAAATATCATGCCAACTTTGAAACCACAAATGATATCTTATTGATATCAACCATATGAAACAGTTTCTGTTGTTAAACATCATGTGTTATTTTCACACACAGAAAGTGACAACATAATGTCTGATGGAATACGTTTTCTTTCCCTTTACGCATTTACAACAGTACAGTCAGCTTGAATTAAATGTCAATCTTTAAAAAAAAAAAGGAATTTCTCAGATTTTACTTTGAAATGTATCTCCAACAAAGCAGGTATTCTTGTGATAGTTCCCGCAGGAATAATTGCAGCCATAGCAGGATCCGCGCTTCGTGGCCTCGTGACAGATACACGCGTCTCCAGTGAGTTTGTCTTTCCTGTTCAGTTGACCGCACTCAGTTCAGTAACTTCATTTCCTACACAGTGCCCTTATCCTCCACCCAAGAGTCCCTCAAAGGATGTTGGGCAATTCACAGTGAGAAAAGTTGCCCAAGCATAGGATTTTACAGCCTCATCAAGGTCGTCATTTAACGCAGGACAACAAACGTGAAATTGAGCTTTCAGTTATCTACATAAGCCTTAGGTATAGGCACTTTGCATAAGACCTAACCCATGCGGTCAATAGTCTGTAATGGATACATGTTGTAGCCTAGGCCTATGGGACAAAGCTGGCACATTATTGTATTACCATGGCTGGTGCGCACTGATGTGGTCAAGGAGTTCCTATATAAAATAACATCAGTTGCTACATGATTGCGCTTCTACAGAACAATGACCGGAAATTCTAACATCCATTATCTGACAATGTTCTCAACTTCTCAATAATGTTTCCTTCTGTTCCATGACATAGGCTACAGTCATATTCCGGTAGCCTTCTTTTAATACAATCTGTTCAGCACCTGTTGATTTTGTAACAGATAACTAAAGCGTGGAACCATACAGACCTAGGTGTGTGAATCATTGAAAAACAAACCCCACAGAACATACACACGACTTCAACATTCTAAAGTTGAACATCCAAGAGCCTTCTAGCGGGACACCAGGAAAAGAAAACAGTGGACTGACTAGCCTACCTATAGGAGTTCCAGTTAAAATGGTTAGGAACATTGACATTTTGAAATCTGTAATATATGTCAATCTAATCACAGAAATGGGTAATGGCATTCATGACAGATGCTACTGTCAATTTCATACATAGTTTATTGCCAATATGGTAACTTTATTTTCCTTTTTAGAAGACCCATTGGTACCCTGTGATAGAGTAGATTTTTACATTCCCATCCAGAGGTTTTGTGTCAGTTATTTACTCTGATTGTATTTTTTTTAGTTACCCTTTATTTCACTAGGCAAGTCAGTTAAGAACAAACTCTTATTTACAATGAGAGCCTACCCGGCAAAACACAGACGACGCTGGGCCAATTGTGCGCAGCACTTGGGACTCCCAAAAACTGCTGAATTGTGATACAGCATAGAATCGAACCAGGGTCTGTGACGCTTCTAGCACTGAGATGCAGTGCCTTAGACCGCTGCGCCACTCGGGATCCCTTTAATCATCTTCACTTACTACAGCAGAAAGATATTTCAATGGTTAAAACATGAGTAAATGATTTGGCTGTTGATACAGAGGCTATTGATTGAGAGAATGTCTGGGATAATATATTTCACTCATCAAAGAACCCAAATCATCAGGTAATTCATTTTAAGCTCTGTCATAGGTCGTACTGGACACCACTGGTAAAATGTAACGCAAAACAGGATCCAAGGCCAAACTGTGACCTATGTTCCCTCAATAGGACACTTTGCACATATAAACATATGATTTGGGATTGTCCTGAGGTTTACGAGTTTTGGAGGAAAACGTAATCTATTCTCTCTGACATGATTGATAAAACTGTAACCAA